AATAACTTATTTTTATTCTCGTACATCAAGAAAAATATATGATTAACTAGTATCTTCGGAAACGTCTTTTGGTGAAGACTTGTTGTGGGAGGAGTCTCTATCGGAATGGAAAACGTGTAAAATCAACCTGTAGAACATGTTGAAAAACACTGACAATTTTTTTAATGATAAATATTCACATTTTCATTTTTAGACACGAATTATTTATAGTACACCTCGCATTACTCAATTTAAAACAGTTACATTTTTCTGTTCTAGATATTGTTGTGTTGAAAATATTATATTCTATTTCATACTTTTTAAACAATTTCAAAAAGTTTATTATATTTATTAAATAAAAGACAATGTAGTTCAAGTTCCAAAAGTGTTTTTAAATATAATTAAAAAGTTTATTTCTTACACCTATGTCTCTTTTCCGTAGACCAAACAAAAACTTAGAAATTTCTCACAACGAATGTGTTAGGTGTCAATGTCTTGATAAACCATCATATAATTAGAAAATTAATTTTAAAGTCTACAAAGTAAATACCAACAGTTTAGTCTCGCCCATTAATTAAAATCAGGGTTATAACATCGATATTTTGGCTGAATATTCCTAATGTTAGTGGGGGCATTTACAACAGACAAAACTATAATTAAAAGCTGGTAGTAAAATCCAAAATAGACTTTCTTTTTTTAAATAAAAAATAATTATATTTTTAAAGAATATTTGTGAAAGTTTATTAAAGGCTTTGTTAACGGTTTTTAAGGACTATAAAAAAACTTTATGCGTGGATTTTTAAAGACTATTTTTCAAGCTCTATTCATTCTATGTTTAGGCGTGATTATTGGTTTTAGGCGTGATTATTGGTTTTAGGCGTGTATTTTCAAAATAATATATTTCAAGGACTACTTAAGGCTTTAGAATATTTTTCAAGGACTATTAAAGGCTTTAGGTGTGGATATTTTTACGAATATTTTTCAAGGACTACTGAATGTTTGGGGGTAGATTTTGGCAAAGATTACTGGCGTCTTTAGGATTGGTTTTTAAGGACTTAAAAGCTTTAGGTGTGGGGTTTTTCATGTAATATTGAAGGCTGTGGGCGTTGATTTTTTTCAATAACTATTAAGACTTATGGAATGGATTTTTTCAAGAATTACTGACGGCTTTAGGATTGACGTTTTAAGCACTATTTAAGGCTGTGGGCGTTGATTTTTTTCAAGAACTATTAAAGACTTTAGGCGTGGATTTTTTCCAAGGATTATTGAAGGCTTTGGGTGTGGATTTTTTCAAGGACTATTGAAGGCTTTAGGCGTGGATTTTTCAAGGACTATAGATGGCTTTAGGCATGGGTTTTTCAAGGAATATTGAAGGTTTTAGGCGTGGATTTTTCAAGGAATATTGAAGGCTTTGGTCGTTTTTTTATGCACTTTTGCATGCATGTTTTTTTCAAATGACTATTTTTCAAGGTCCATCTAGGCGGTGAGTTTAAAATGAATATTTTTCAAGGTCCATCAGTAGCTTCAGGCGTGGATTTTTAAACCAGTTTTTTCAAGGTACATCAGTGGCTCTAAGCGGGGATTTTAAAAGAAATATTTTTCAAGGTCCATCAGTGGCTTTAAGGGGGGATTTTAAAAGGAATATTTTTCAAGGTCCATCAGTGGTTTCAGGCGTGGATTTTTAAACCAGGTTTTTCAAAGTATATCACTGGCTCTAAGCGGGGATTTTAAAAGAAATATTTTTCAAGGTTCATCAGTGGCTCTAAGCGTGGATTTTTAAAAATTAAATTTTTTTCAAGGTCCATTAATGGCTTTAGGCGTGGATTTTTTAATGGATTTTTCAGTGTCCATCAGTGCCTTCAGGTGTGGACTTTTAAATTATTTTTTTTTTCAAGGTCCATCAATGGCTTTAGGCGTGGATTTTTTAATGATTTTTTTCAACGTCCATAAATGTTCAAGAATATTGTTTTTCAGGACTATTAGTATTTTTTTTTTCTCGACATTAAAACATTATATTTATGGTTGAATATTTAGAACTTAATCCATTTTGCACTTCAACTTAAATGCTATCATATCCTCGTATATAAATAAGTGACAAAATACGCAAACAATTCAGTTCAAAATTTATTGTGAATATAATCAGTCATTTAAGAAAATGTCCGACGAATTGAATACCAAAGCCCTGTTTAAAACCCATTATGTGGTATGGCGTATTTTGGGCATGTTACCTCCGAAAAAATATCGTACTCTATATTGGATGTATTCAGCGGTGTTTAACATTTCCATTACAATTGGATACCCACTACATTTAATAGTGGGTCTATTTGCCAGTAACAATGCCTATGAATTCTTTCAAAACATGGCCATCAACTTAACTTGTGCCTTTTGTACCATGAAAACCATTGCAATTTGGTGGCGTTTTGACAAAGTCGATATTATGTTTGAAATTATTCAGCGACAAGATGACCGTGTTCGCACTCAGGAAGAAATGTCCTTTCTTCGGAAAATGGTACATCCGCCGACTAAAAGGATAATTCTGACATTCACAATTTTGTGTAGCATCATAGCGGTGTCAAGTGAATCTACCGTCTTGTTTAATGGACTAATGGGTAATTGGACTCTGATGCATAAGGGCTACTTTCCTTTTGACATTTTTGAGAATACAAGGAATTACATAATTGCCCATTTATATCAAATTATTGGTCTATCCTATATGATTTTGCAAAATGTGGTCAACGATACCTTTGCACCTGCACACTTGTGCCTGCTACGTGGTCAGGTGCAAATGCTGAATATTCGTATTGGAAAAATTGGTCACGATTCGAAGAAAGGAAGTGCCGAAAATAATCAAGAATTACTGGAATGCATCAAGGTGCACAAGGACCTGCTGGAGTAAGTGAAGATAAATTCTGACTTATTTTTATAAATTCCCTTAATTATTTTATTTTTTATTTTTCAGATACCACCACCAATTGGAGGAAATAATTTCCGTGTATATGTTTTTCCAAATTATGGTGGGCGCGTTCAATATGTGCATCATTTTGGTATTCATTATACTCTTCGTCAAGGACATCTTCACCCTGCTCTACTACACTTTCTATTTTATTGGTGTCATTTTTGAATTGCTTCCCGGTTGCTATTATGGCACTCTGTTGGAAGATGAATTTCATGAGCTGACCTATGCATTGTTCACCTGTAATTGGCCTGAGCAAGATGTGGAATTTCGAAAGAATCTTCGTATAATTGCCGAACATACTACACGTCGTGTTTACGTTACTGCATGGCTATTTCGTGTGAACAACAATGCTTTCATTTTAGCTTGTAAAAATGCATATGCTTTATTCGCACTTGTCATGAATATTAAGTAAAAATGTCAGATTCGAAAATATTTTCGAATATCAGGAAGTAAAAATATTATAGAATTTTACCTGCACACTTGTGCCTGCTACGTGGTCAGGTGCAAATGCTGAATATTCGTATTGGAAAAATTGGTCACGATTCGAAGAAAGGAAGTGCCGAAAATAATCAAGAATTACTGGAATGCATCAAGGTGCACAAGGACCTGCTGGAGTAAGTGAAGATAAATTCTGACTTATTTTTATAAATTCCCTTAATTATTTTATTTTTTATTTTTCAGATACCACCACCAATTGGAGGAAATAATTTCCGTGTATATGTTTTTCCAAATTATGGTGGGCGCGTTCAATATGTGCATCATTTTGGTATTCATTATACTCTTCGTCAAGGACATCTTCACCCTGCTCTACTACACTTTCTATTTTATTGGTGTCATTTTTGAATTGCTTCCCGGTTGCTATTATGGCACTCTGTTGGAAGATGAATTTCATGAGCTGACCTATGCATTGTTCACCTGTAATTGGCCTGAGCAAGATGTGGAATTTCGAAAGAATCTTCGTATAATTGCCGAACATACTACACGTCGTGTTTACGTTACTGCATGGCTATTTCGTGTGAACAACAATGCTTTCATTTTAGCTTGTAAAAATGCATATGCTTTATTCGCACTTGTCATGAATATTAAGTAAAAATGTCAGATTCGAAAATATTTTCGAATATCAGGAAGTAAAAATATTATAGAATTTTACGTGTTGCAGTTAGTTTTTCCGCATTTTGGGGAGCATGAAAACGTGTTTCCAACAAATTTTGGAGTAATTTAATATTTTGAACTCACATTAAGTAGAAAATGTTCCTAACAAAAATGATCAACATTGGCCCATGTTTCCGGGCAGCCACCATATAATGCTAACCCACTAGTCGGTATTTTTAGTGTTTTGGGCAAGTTTTTCAGCTGAATTAGCTTTAATTTAATTTTTCAGGTTCTCAGGGGAGTGTAATCTCCTTATTAAAAATGATCAATATTGGTTCACTTCTTAGAGAATCCAAACATTCCAAACATCGGTATTTTGGGGAGCTTGGGTACGTGCTTTAACCAAATTATAATTAATAAAAGACCTCGTCTCCAGATTCACTCAAATAGATAGGCGAATTGCTACAATCCGTATAAAAGCTAAGTTCTTCTACATCAGTCTCATTTGCACCCATGATCCGACCGAAGATAAAGATGAACAGACCAAAGACATTTTTATATGAGCGCCTAGAAATACCATATGACCGATGCCCTGGCTATGATATTAAAATTCTGCTAGGAGATTTTAATGCAAAAATTGGAAGAAAAAATATTTTTGGCCCCACCGCCGGAAATTTCAGCCTCCATGAAGCAACATCAGACAACGGCATGAGTTTGATTGACTTGGCAGCAGCAAAAACATGGTCGTTGGCAGTACCACATTCATGGTAGTTAGGAGTATCAGATTCAAGCATCTCGATATACACAGGGACACCTGGATTTCTCCTGATCGAACAACAAGAAATCAAATCTATCATTTTGTGATAGACGGAAGGCATTCATCCAGTGTTTTAGACCTTCGATCGATCCGAGGAGCGAATATCGATTCGGACCAGTACCTTGTAGCAGCCAAGGTTCGTACTCGTCTTAATGTATCAATAATGCTGCGATCTAACACAATACGGAAACTCGACATCGAAAAGCTGCAAACACGACAGGTATCAGAAGTCTACTCAGCTCAACTTACTCACCTGCTTGACGAAAACACTCCTTGTCCCGATAATAGTATAGAAGCACAATGGCAACGAATTGTCCACTCCCTACAAACTACAGCAAAAGCAACATTTGAGTATCAAGAACCACCATCAAGAAATATATTGTACGATCAGGAGTGTCGTAATACTACTAATGTGACAAACGCAGCAACCCTGCAGACAGTAGCAACAGGTAATGTGATAGAGAATTATCGGGAGAAAAGGAGAGAGGGGAAAAGTATTTTCAAAAAAAAAAAAAATAAATAAGAAGAAGGAACAAGAAAAACGTGAGCTTGAGCAAATCGAGATATACAGGAGTCAGCATGAAGTCCGAAAATTCTACCAACGAGTAAAACACCGAACCGAGGGCTTTGGTGTAGGCACATCCTCCTGTGAAGATGAAAAAGGAAACCGGGCGACAGATACAGACAGCCTGTTGAGGATCTGGAAGGAGCATTTCAGGTTTCAAATAGTGGCGGTGAAGAGGATACCCCAGAACCAATAATAGATGACGGTATAGACTGTGTACCACCTAGCCATGATGAGGTCAGAGTAGCAAATAATCGGCTGAAGAACAATAAAACAGCAGATGCCGATGGGTTACCAGTCGAACTATTCAGGACTGGTGGTCAGATGCTGGTCAGGAGCATGCACTAGCTGATTAGTACAATTTGGATAGAGGAATACATGACCAATGATTGGAACCTCAGTATCCTGAGTCCCGTACGCAAAAAATGAGACAAGACGATATGTGCCAACTGTAGAGGAATAAGTCTCCTTCCCATTGCATATAAAGTGCTATACAGCGTACTGTGTGAACGACTGAAGCCAATGGTCAATGACATTATTGGACCATAACAATGCAGCTTCAGACCTGGCAAATCCACCATTGACCAGATTTTTACTATGCACCAAATTCTGGAAAAAAATTAATACAGCTACGCAGGATAACTTTAACGTCGGAAAAGACCGTTCGGAGCCCTTTAATACAGGATGTTTAACATCCTGCAGGAAAAGGTCATAACAGAGGCAAAGGTGAACAGAAATGGCATTCTGTACAATAAAGAACACATGTTACTCGCCTACGCCGATGACATTGACATAATGGGTCGAACATTGAGAGCGGTAACAACAACCTTTGAATAAATTGATAAGTCGGTCTGACAGAAGACCAAGCTGATGGTATTAACAAGCAAGACTCGGACCAACTGTGGAACTTGAGAACTACAGCTTCGAGGTAGTCAAACATTTTATATAAATTCGTACCACCATAAATAAAACTAATGACATCAGTTTTGAAATTCGGAAAAGGATAGTGTTGGCTAACAGATGCTACAATGGTCTGAGTAAGCAATTTAGAAACAATGCCAACTCCCGCCAGACCAAACTCACACTCTACAAGACTCTGATACTATCCGTGCTGTTATACGAATCTGAAGCATGGGTACTTGCGCAAGCAGATGAGGCAGTTTTTTGAGTGTTTGAGAGAAAAATTCTCCAAAAGAGAATATCGCCGTCGGATGAACCATGAGTTGTACCAGATATTCTCGGACATGGGCATTGTCAGACGTATCCAGCTGCAGCGACTGCGTTGGCTAGGCCATGTTGTGAGAATGGATGAAGATGCCCCAGCTCAAAAGGCATATAAAAGCGAACGAATTTGATGGAAAGATCAAGTGGAAGACAATTATGCCGAATATGGTCTTTCAAATCGGAAAAACTGTGCATAAGACCGACGCGCCTGGAAATCTTTTTTAAGCTCGGCTTATGGAACGAAAGTTCTGTCCCAAGGCAGCTAAGTGAAGAAAGTAAGTCTTTATATTTACAAGATTAATGAAGTAATGGATCGGATCGTCTTACAAATTTGTTTGAAAAACGCTATGGCTGCATACACCAAAATATATCATGGATTGTGTGGGAATCAACGAGATAAAACCTTGTTTACGGTTATATATTCATTCAATATCGAAAATATGCTAGTTGAAGAAATGCCAAAGGATGTTTCAATTTCAGGGTCTGCCATATAAGGATTATGCATTGAATAAGGCACGGCACCAATGTTATGTTTTTTTCAACAACCTGTCAACAAATATTTGCAATTTTAATGTGTAGTAATAAGAATTTTAACCATTAACCATTGTAGGCTAATTTGTAAGTAGTTAAGTAGTTTTGCAAATAGCGCCCTTCTCGTGTTCACGTTCTCTTCTCAAAACCCTAAAATATTTCTATGAAATAACCGCTATTTTAAACGATTCATGCAATTCAACAATTTTGACAGTGAAAAAGATCAAAGTATTAACACGTCACAGAATAACAACAACAACAAAAAACAACCACCAATATTCGCAAATTCTTTTACCACCAAACAAAAAACCTCCGCAAACAAAAAAAAGAAATTATTTTCATTTTGAACTTAAGAAGAATTTTTAACATTTCATTGATGGAAGTTGAACTGAATAACAAAACAAAAAAAAAAAACAAAGACAACAAAAATATTGGCATTCAGTGAAGCATATATGAATGTGAATGGATTGATGCGTGCATTTGTATGTACGAGTATATGTAGTGTAGGAGGATTGCATTTGATTAAGTGAATATTTAAGCCAAATGAATTCCTCTTTTCTCTCACTCTAGAAATAGCTGCAGCAAACGAAAAAAAACTCTCACATAAAACCGATATGGACAAAAGCGACCAACAACAACAATTGTAGTAGCCAACGACGAGCGACCGAACCAATGAACTCGACATTGCCAACCATCAGTCAACAACAGAAGTTATTGCAACAGTCGTTTATTGCCACAAATCCAGTCAGAGAGTCAGTCATTCAGCCAACCAACCAACCAACAATTCATTTGCTTTTTTCCCCAAACAAGGCCAGCAGACATTGCATTTCATGGAAATACACATTATGACACTTTAATTGTCAGTGGCGGAATTGAGGGGTTATTTGCTGAGGCTCTCAAATATCATTAAGGAATAACCAAATTCTATAACTTTTGGATAACATAATAATATCTAATGCTTCAAATTTATGCTAATCAAGAGATCTACTCTACTTATCCTAATTTACGAAAATGCTCACTATTGTTTGTCGAATAGAATTTATTGAGATGACCCCTAAATGTCCTATGAAATCCGCCCCTCTGTTATCTTTGTGGTTCTTATCACAATCTGTGTTTCTGCTATTGTACAATGTGTAAGTGCAATGGTTTCACGAATATGTGTATATATGAATCGGATTCTATTGTACCAATTTGTCAGCGTGGGAACATATCCCAAATTGTTTTTTTTTAGTTTTTTACCCTCCACAACCTGGTGAGTATTCAAAATTCTTTAAATCGGCCAGGAACCTTATATGAAAAAATAATATTCCAAATTACAGACACTCATTTCGGAAAATGGGTGTAGGAACATTAACATACCGAAAATTAAACCATTTTAATTTGTGTAATATAGATTTTTGCACGATTTTTCACATTACAGCCGCTTTGATGAAAAAATCGGTAAAAAAAACAAGTGAAAAGGCGTTAAGTTCGGCCGTTCGCAACTTTGGATATCCTCCTCCATAGGAATAGTTAGTTAAAATTAAAATAGTTACGTAAAATTAAAATATGGGGAACATACCAAAAAGCGTAACTATATCAACAATTGTACTCATGCTAAATGTTAAAAATAACGAAAATCTGTAGAAATTATTATATGGGGGATATGCCTAAATGCGGGCCGACAACAAAGATGGCCGAAGATAGAA